GCAGCCCCCCGACCCTACCCCCGCCGCGGATTCCCCCAATACGCCCCCTAAGGACGACGGTGGGGACGTCTCTAGATTCTCCGACCTCCTGTCCGAAGAGGTCCTGCGGCTCGAGCAGCAGCTGGGAGACTTTGCCATGTCGGAGGCGGAGTTCGAGAGGGTCAAGGACGACCTCCGCCGCCGGATCCATGACCGGCAGGTGGCGCTTGAGATCTCGAAGATGCCGGAGGAGGAGTGGGAGGACTGGGGCGATGAGTTCGAGCGTCCCTTCGGGGAAGGCACTTCGAAAGGGGAGGAGGAAGAGGTCGAGGTTTTCCGGATTTATTTTAAGGGTTTGGTGGAGAAACAGGGGACTCCGGTGGGAGGAATTGGGGTTGCGATATGCAATTCGAGCGATGAATTGTTGTTCGAGTTGAGGAAGCCGTTGGTGGGGAGCGGGGCAAGCAGCCGGCAATGTGCAGAGGCGCAGGCACTGGTTGAGGCTCTTAGTGCCGCGTTGGATCTTGGTTTGGACACAGTTATCTTTAATTGCGATTACTATCCCATTTACAGATTTGTGAGTCTCGTTTTCAACCTCTCTTCTTTAATTGATGTGGTGGAATTTAGAATTTTCTCCAAGTGGCTTGGTGTTTTCAACCTTTCTTCTTTAATTGATGTGGTGGAATTCAGAAGTTTCTCCAAGTGGCTTGTTCGACTGATTGCACTGCTTTAGCTGTTGCTATGAGGGGTGATTTTCATGAAAAACAATACGTGGTAGCAGAAAGTTAGCAGCCTTGCTTGGTCGACTGAAACTGCTCATGTGTGATGCTATTTTCAAAATGTAGTATTATTCTTGCTGTGATTTGGTCTTAAATAATGTTATGATCTCCATGAAACATCTCAACCCTTACCTGCTTTGGACTGTGATTTTGGAGAACATCTTCGGGAGATTCTAAAGTGTGTGAAATGTGAACTGTCTTAGACTACTGCCAGATTAGGGATGTAGATGGATAGAAGGGGGGATATTGATAGCATAAACTGTAACCCATTTTCAAGACAGATGATTATATTTGCCAGGGAATATGAGGATGGAATGGATGATAGAAAGCATGAGCACACAATGATTTTCCCCTTTTGGTTGGAGGGGATGTTTTGAGTGTTGATATTTTGCTAAAGTGTCAAATTGAGACTTAAGTAGTATATATAGGAGAATATGTGGCTTAACACCAGAAGGGTTGAAAATAAGAAATGTGGGTCTGTGTTTTATAATTCATTATGTGTAATCTTGTCTTTTAGTGCGGAAGGTCATATTATGTTCGAATGGAAAAGATTCCAAAGTAGAACAGAAATTGATATCTGTTTGCCTTCAGATGAAGGTCATATTAAGTTCAAATGACATTCTTTAGTTGTACATAAAGCTCCTCATAAGGTTTCACTATACTTTCTATGGGAGTTCAACTTAGGTTTGTGTGGAAATATTAGGTCTATATATTGGTTAGAACCTTGTGTGGAAATATTAGGTCTATATATTGGTTAGAACCAATGTGACGTGGCCTATGTAAGTGACGGCATGTGGCCAATAAGAGAGTGAAACCGAAACCTAGACTTGTCAGGTCGGTCACAAGAGAGATAAAACCCGACCTAGCAATGAGACAGATGCTTCAGAGTAATGGTGGAATAAAAGGACAGTTCGATAGTGTTCTACCGAAACAGGGCTGGACGGTCAACAAAGACCAATAAAGTAAAGATCCAGAAAATCAGAAGAAATCATACCCTATTAGCTGTCTGTTAATGTCAAACCAATTTGTACTTACCGAATAAGAGCACACCATGTGACTGTAGTTAAAGGACCATACTTTGGCTTTTATAAATAAGATCCCTTGATCTCAAAAAATCAGGCAAAAAGATGGTTACAAGCAAGAAATTTAAGCTCCAAAAACACCCGGTGTATTATTGAGTAAATTCAGCAAAAATTCTTCAAATCCACACTTGAAGCGCGGAATTATTTATTCAACATATATTAGGATAGAATAAATTATTGTATGGGAGATCTGGATAATTGTCCTTCATTCTTGTTATTATTGTGCTCTGTTTATGCCTGATAATGTGGAATTTGTTTCCCTTTTCTAGTTAGAAAATCCAGGTTCCTGAATTTGTTCACTTATACTATATTACTTATGAATTTACCTGTATTTTGATCTCAAAGAAAGAGAATTTCATAGTTCGAATAATAGAGTTACGGACATCTGTTGACTAATATTTCACATTTTCTTAGCTTTGTTTTTCCTCCTCTCTCTATGAATTCACTTTTCATTGAGACTTTCTCTGTTTTATTTCCAACTGTTCAATGAAGTCTAAATTCTTTTTCTCAGCTGGGCAGGAAAGCTGCTGAGACTTTGTTTCCCATGATTAAACTAAGCGCTCTTCAATATTTTTCATGACCTCATGTTGGAACACAAATGCACTAATGTTTTTGAATGATTGCTCAAAAATGCACTTATTAGGTTTAAAATGCATGAATTGTAGGTAACTGGCAGGTGGTTAGCAAAATCGAGAAAAGTTTCTGCTTTAATACATCAAGCCACACAGCTCAGAGAAAGATTTGATTACTGCCAACCGTATCTTGTAGCTAGAAACGACATAAAATTTGCATTCAAACTAGCAAGAGAAGCAATAACATCTCAGGCCAATAAGCCTCAAGAGCCCAACTGCTCAGGAACTACAGAAACATGTGTAATTTGTACCGAGGAGACAAATATCGATCATATTTTCCCTGTCGACAACTGTCTGCACCGCTATTGCTTTTCTTGCATGAAACAGCACGTGGAAGTGAAGTTACTCCATGGGCTTTTGCCCACATGTCCCCACGAAGGCTGTAAAACTGAACTGAAACTTGATAGCTGTAGCAAATTCTTGACGCCTAGGTTGATTGAGATTATGAGCCAGCGTATTAAGGAGGCTTCAATTCCAGTGACAGACAAAGTCTACTGCCCTTTCCCGAAATGTTCTGCTTTAATGTCTAAGGGAGAGGTTTTGGAGTTCTCAAAGAAATCCATTAAGGGAGTAGAAACTTTCGGAGCCAGAAGGTGCATAAAATGCAATGGCTATTTCTGTATTGATTGCAAAGTACCTTGGCACTACAACTTGACGTGTTCTCAATACAAAGAGAAGCATCCTTATCCCCTGCTGGAAGAGGCTAAATTAAAGAACTTGGCTGAAACAAATTTGTGGCGCCAATGTCTGAAGTGCAACCATATGATTGAACTTTCTGCTGGGTGCTACCACATGACTTGCAGGTACTGTGGCTAAAATACAGAGTTTATTTATTTATTTGATGTCTGTTTGAATAGAACATAACCCTTTTCCATCCACCCATGTTAAGTGTTCCGTTTGAGTATTCTTCTCAGTGGTAAAAAGAGAGAGACTTCAATTTTTCGGTAAGAGAATGACATTGTTTTCTGGAAGAGTGGAATCCGTTAACTGTGTAGTATGAACTGCGCAATAATTCTGTGCGTGTGCGTTAATTTTTTTTTTTTTATTTTTTTTTTCAAGTTTAAACTTTGATTTGCATCTGCTTTTCATCAGCGACTTGTGGTGTTACAGTATGTAAGACTAAAACAAAGAAGGGAAAATCTCTTTCTAAGAGCTAGGGAAAAAATAGTTGGTCGACATATTACATTTTTTTATGCTCAAGTACATTTCAAGTTTGAATTTTTTATGGTGCATATTCCCCTCACTCCATATAAAAAAACATTCTGGTGGGCCTTTAGGTGTGGTCATGAGTTTTGCTATAATTGTGGTGCTGCATGGGAAAACAAGAAGCAAACTTGCTCCTGTCCACTTTGGGATGAAGATTACATTTTAGATGATGATGATGAAGATTTTGACGATGAAGATGAATTTGATGATGAGTATGATGAAGATGAAGATGAAGATGAAGAGTGAACACGAGGAAGATGATGTACACTTAACTTAAGATGAAGATGAGGATGGAGATGGTGAATATGAGGAAGACGATGTATTCATTTGATTCGTGTTCCAATGGATAGTTATAAATTGTTGTACTTTAGCAGATTTTATGTTTTCAAGGCATCAACATCGTTATGGTTATGTTTCTTGAAGAAGTTTTTATAACCATCTCTTTTGGTGATTGGAAAATTACCTAAAGAATCATTATTCCCTGAAGATTTTCACCAAATGTCAGTTAGTTTATGCTCAGGGAATGGAAATTTTACCGATGGAAAGGATATATTTCTTGTGTGAAATGTTCGTAGTTTATGTTTAGGGGATGGAAGGATATACTTCTTGTGTGTAATGAACTGTGATTGAAAATTACCCGATGCTGATAATCAACTAGGACAAAAGAGGAAATGCAGGAAAAAGAAAAGATCATTTTAATCCCAACAAAATCACATGCTCATTCTAAGTTCACACTATTAAGGTAGCTACGACTGGGTAACACTTGCAAACTCTATTGAGAAAAGACAAAAAGCATAGGTGAGTTCGAGTCCGGATTAGATGTAAATTTTTTCGAGTTTATGTTGTCCAAAAAAGGTAAGATGAGTAAGTAAAAAAGAGAGTTCCTGGAGAAATTTTAGATTGTAAATTAACATGGAATAAAATGCAATGGTTCCTAAAAAGTAAGATGAGAAAGTAAAAAAGATTGTTTGTAGAGAAATTATAAATATTCATTGATTAAATTGATGTGGATGAATATTTTTTTTTTAAATATAGTAATAATAATTACTCTTTATTTTTAATTATGTAGGTGAGATTGCAGAAAAAAATTGAGATTAAACTAATTATCTTTTTTATGGAATTATTGTGTTTCATTTTCAATAAATCTTGACTGAACCAAAAAAAAAAACCTCATCTAGTAGTGACTCCACTCTAATTCCATGTTAAACCAACTTTTGGCAGCTAAAGAGCAAAGCCATTATAATAAAAACCATTTTCCACAACTATTACAGCTGAAACACAACCTAAGATATGAGAAGGAAGGCACCAGAGATTTTTAACATAAAAAAGTGAAAGTATGCAACTTCAACCGAGTATGGAAGCATGCCAGTCGATTAAACATGAAAAGATTCTATGAAAAGATTCTGAGTTAAAAAAGTGAAAGTATGCAACTTCAACCGAGTATGGAAGCATGCGAAACATGAAAAGATTCTATGAAAAGATTCTGAGTTTCAACCAGGCCAAAAAGATAACCAGTTAACCACTGATCCTGTACAATCTGAAAAATAAACCATTTACCAAAAGTCACATCAACCGGGCACCACTAACAATCAAGAAAAAACTTGGCAAAAGATAGAAACTGCAAAAGCTGAAATTTTTTCTCCATTACAGAACTCTCCCTAATGATAAGAGCAAAAGGATCCTAATTTGCACTTGAGGTATATTTTACTCATCGTGTATAATATTGCGTTCGTCCCATATAGGACACCTGCAGCTCGCCTTCTTATTCTTCCATTCCGCCCCGCATGTATAGCAGAACTCGTGCCCACACCTAATTCATTCCTCACAAATATCATTTATGATTATATGCATGGGATGAAAATTTTACCAGCGAACAGTAGTTAAAATGCACAAAATGCTGATTATATATCCCATTATCAAATGTTATAGTTTTAGATGTCAAAATTAAAGTTCAATGCAATCAAAGTGGGGTCTTCTTTTAAGTGGGTGGATGGGGCCATCTCTAGTTGTGAACCAAATGAGAAGATTAGACAAAGTAAAACAGAAGAAGATCCAATTTTTTTGGTGCAAAGGCTAAGTATATAAAAGTGCCATTTTTGTTTGGATGAAGCAGTACCTAACCATTTCCTCTCATCATTTGTTCTAAGGAACATGTCACACCAATATCAAATTTTAAATGAATAAAGAACAACAAACCTGCAATAAATATGGTAGCATCCTTCAGAAAGTGAAACCATAAAGCTGCATTTAGGACACTGACGCCAATTTTTCTGATTAGCCAAACCCTTCAGTTTCTTATCGTCCTTACCTGGGTAGGGATTTAGTCTTTTGAAATCAAAGCAACTCATATTTTCATGCCAGGGGACTTTACATTTGATGCAGAAAAAGCCACTGCATTTGGGGCACTCTGTGGCCCCCAGTAGTGATCCTCGAAGCTCGGTTTTTGAAAACAATGCCGAACACTTAGGGTAGGGACAATAAACCTTCTCGGCTGGAGGAATAGAAGATTCCTTCTCGCGTTGGCTCAACACATCAAATAATTCTGGAGTAAGGAATCTTTTGCAGCCATCAAGTTTCAATACTGATTTACATTTCTCGAAAGGGCATTTAGGAAGGGAGCCTTGAAGCAACTTAAATTGCACATGCTTCGACATGCATGAAAAACAGTACCTATGGAGACAATCTGGAATTGTGAACATTTGGTTTTCAGATGTGTATTCGAAACAGATAGCACAACTCTCAATCGGATTCTCTGCACTGCTGCTACTTCCTGCTGAAAGATTGACCTGGCACGCAACTGCATTCCGTGCAAGTTCAACAGCAAACTTAATGCTTCTGCCGGACACAAATGATGCACTAATATAAGCAAATTTTCGTAGGAGAACATCTATTTGCTGGCTGAATGTGGTGACATTTGCTGTCACATGATTACTTTTTCCAGTGATCTGCATTTAGAGAAAACTTGTCAACCACATGCAAAACCAAGCTTGGTGAATTCAGATTCAGATTCATATCATCTTTGTGGATATGCATACAGACAGGGAATCAATCATATTTCACAACATTCATGCATAAAGCCATAAACCCTTGACACTATCAGTTCGTATTGCAAATCTATCATTGCCTCATTCATCAAAAAGTATCTCACAAGATGAATAGAGAATTAAAAAAAAAAACACAATAATCAGATAAACATTGGATCTTTTTGCAGTGCTTGTCACTTACATATTGATAGAGCATACGGCAGTCTGTAACAACACAAATCCTCTTCAAATCGAGTAACACGGCAACATCAAGCCCTTCAATCAGAGCTTTAAACTCAACAAACTCTTGATTGACTTGCCTCTCAGACCCGCGGACACCCTTACTCAACTCGAACACCAAACTGTCATCGGCGTCGCATATGGCAACCCCGACACCGCCCACCGTTGCCCCCACCAAACCCTTTACATAGACCTTAAAATTGAAACCCTTACCATTACCGGACGACGAGGATCCCTCACGGTACGGCCGGTTCAGATGATTCCCGGTCTTCCGCCACTCCGCCTCCGGCGCATTCGCGATCTCGCAGGCCAGGGCGCGGTCGTGGATCTGACGGCTGAGATCGACCCGGAGGCGCTTCACCGCCGCCTCGGCCTCGTATTGTCCGAGGAGCTCCTCTTCGTAGGCGTAGAGGTGGTCATCCTGGAGGAGGCCCGACAGGGCTGGGCCGAAAACGGCGTCGTAGGAGACGGACGCGGATTTAGGGGAGGGGGCGGCGTCGCCGTCGAGGATTGAGGCGGTTAGGGCTTCCTCGACCTGGAGATTGAACGCGAGTTCGGAGTCGTCGTCCGCCATCGAAGAAGTCTGGTTTTTGGCGCGAAAGTGAAGTGAAGCGACGTCGTAGAAGGAACTTTCCCGGCCGTCAACTTTTCTTAAAGAAGGTAAGCAGTGGCAGTGGTAGAAATACAACGCATTTGTGCGACGATTGGGTTTCTTCGTAGATGCGACACGTGGAGTGGTGGGGGTACCGAGGTAATTTTGTAGATGTTCAAAAGTTCCGAATTTAATGTATTTTTAGGGTAAAAAATATTGAAAAATGTTACAAGTACAATAATGTACATAGAAGCGTATCACACATACAATGGAGTGAAATTCACTGAATTTTTTATTTGATAAATGCTATAGGTACATAATATTGTATATAAGAGTGTACATAACACTCACATTGTGTGGATCTACAAAAAAAAAAATCAAATAGACCATATTCCATGTGAGTGCACCTCTATGTACATTTCTTATGTCTTTGTAGCATTTTTCTTTTTTATTTTTGGTCGGTCCGCTCAATGTGATATTATGTTCACCCTTATGTACAATAATATGTACAAATAACATTTCTCAAAAATATTTACCATCCATAATATGGCTGTAATTTAAATTAACCTTGATCAATTTATGACCAAGACTTGCAGTTATCAAACAACAATTAAACCGATTAGATTAATATTTAGTTAAACAATATTTTAAATATAGATGATAATTCAAATACTAATTTTTACAAATTTATTATTAATAGAAAAAATAATTTAAAATCTAAATTCCTCAATTAATGAATATAATAATTTATAAATATACACTATATTTAACTTTTATTCTTGTGTTTATTTAAAAATAAAAAAGAAAAAAATAAACTAGTCTGACCAGTTGAATTTTTATTAGTTCTAACCATCGATTTGCCATTTTTTTGAATATGCCGTTTTATGTGCTTATCAATGTTGTTTCGTATACAAAATTTGAGGGGTGTATTCATATAAAACTTTCATATACCTTTCAATATTATAGAAATCATTAACTATTAGACTTGTGTACTCATATAAGATTTCTATAATTAACACTTTTAAAACTTTTAAAAGTCTCATAATAACTTAATTGAAATTTTAAAGTCATAAATTATTTAACTTATTAAATATTGTGGTTTGTTATAATTTTTTTAAAAATTTAAAACACAAATTAAATATTGCTACATCTCTCCACCAAATCTTACCAAGATTTCTCAGGATTTTACTAAAATCATCATCTTTAAATTTTTTGGATTCAAATAGTTTTAAAAAATATCATTCAAAATTTTAAATTAATAAACCAAAGTCCCTTTTCCCAACTTGATGTAGGGGAAGTGTACGAATGGGAAAGATAAACGAGATACTCTCTCGATAAACTCACAATCAATTCATATTTCTATTCAAAATCAACTACCTAAAACAATAGATAGGGAGTCCTTTAAATAAGGCTCCTAAACCCTATTCTTAACTTGTCCAACAAGACAAGATTTCTTATAATAATATTTAATTTCTAACTTATTCTCCAAGATACTAATAATAATAATAATCTACACCATTCTCCCCCGGTTCGGAAGGCTTCGCCCTTGAAGTCGATGCGCTCCCGTGGCCGGCGTGTGGTGTTGAATCCATGGTAGGACCCCCGTCATTTTCCTCGGTCAAACACGAAGGTTGAATGTCACCCAACGTCCACTCTAGCCGACCCACATAACATAGGATCCTTACTTCAAAACCAAACACCCCCGGGCATCACAAAACTAAAAAATTCAACACTACCCGAATGGTAAATAACTTGAAAGTACTTATAATGACGTGTCAGAATCACCCCATGGTCATCTTCCATTGCTTTTGTCAGTTCAATTGCAGTTTGCTTAACCTCAGGATGTAGCATAAAAATAATTGCATCTACCAACTTGTGAAGTGAAAATCCTCGACTGAGATTGAAGCAGGACCTACGCCTCTGGCATGCACACACTCTCCCCCAAAAGGTTGGTCAAAGTCTTTGTTGGTGTTGCTGTAAAGAGAATTACACTCCACGATAAAATCCTCCGGCCTCGGAGGCTCCTCATCGAAAATCGGCGGACCATCGTACAATGGCCTGTCATCTGGCTCACCGTCGAATTTGGGGATTTCCACGCGAAACGGACCCTCCCATCGATGGTCATCGCCACCTCCAAGTTGTTGGTCGTCATCTTCCTCAAAAACTACGCCTTGTTGCCGCACATCTTGGCCATCGTGCGCGGCAATAGGCTCAGGCTCGACGTGCGGAGGTTGATAATCGTCGAAGAGATTCACCTTCGAGACTGTCTCCTCGCCGGATGGTGGTTGTGGAGATCCCTGGAGGGGAGCCCCGCCTGGACCACGGCCTCCACGTCCTCCGCGAATTACTCCGCACACGCCCTGGTTGCTGGCGTCACGGTACATTTGCTTAACCCGAACCATGGTATGGATAGTTAGACGTATGTCCCCGATCTCCGCGGACAAATCTGCAATCTCACGACCCATCGTCTCGAGCTGGCAGCCAAACCACTCGGTCCGGCGGATCAGGTTGTAGATGGCGGCGACACGCCTGTCGTTTGCAGCATCTTATCGTCGCGACAGCATTGTGAATCGTGCTGACTTCTGATACCAACTAATGTAGGGGAAGTGTACAAATGGGAAAGATAAACGAGATACTCTCTCGATAAAACTCACAATCAATTCATATTTCTATTCAAAATCAACTACCTAAAACAATAGATAGGGAGTCCTTTAAATAAGGCTCCTAAACCCTATTCTTAACTTGTCCAACAAGACAAGATTTCTTATAATAATATTTAATTTCTAACTTATTCTCCAAGATGCTAATAATAATAATAATAATAATAATCTACACCATTCTCTCCCGGTTCGGAAGGCTTCGCCCTCGAAGCCGATGCGCTCGGCGTGTGGTGTTGAATCCATGGTAGGACCCCCGTCATTTTCCACGGTCAAACACGAAGGTTGAATGTCTCCCAACGTCCACTCTAGCCGACCCACACAACATAGGATCCCTACTTCAAAACCAAACACCCCCGGGCATCACAAAACTCAAAAATTCAACACTACCTGAATGGTCAATAACTTGAAAGTACTTACCATGACGTGTCAGAATCACCCCATGGTCATCTTCCATTGCTTTTGTCAGTTCAATTGCAGTTTGCTTAACCTCAGGATGTAGCATAAAAATAATTGCATCTACCAACTTGTGAAGTGAAAAATTCTCGACTGGGATTGGAGCAGGACCTACGCCTCTGGCATGCACACACTCTCCCCCAAAAGGTTGGTCAAAGTATTTGTTGGTGTTGCTGTAAAGAGAATTACACTCCACGATAAAATCCTCCGGCCTCAGAGGCTCCTCATCGAAAATCGGCAGACCATCGTACAATGGCCCGTCATCTGGCTCGCCGTCGAATTTGGGGATTTCCACGCGAAACAGACCCTCCCATCGATGGTCATCGCCACCTCCAAGTTGTTGGTCGTCATCTTCCTCAAAAACTGCGCCTTGATGCCGCACATCTTGGCCGTCGTGCGCGGCAATAGGCTCAGGCTCGACGTGCGGAGGTTGATAATCGTCGAAGGGATTCACCTCCGAGACTGTCTCCTCGCCGGATGGTGGTTGTGGAGATCCCTAGCGGGGCGCCCCGCCTGGATCACGGCCTCCACGTCCTCCGCGAATTCCCCCGCACATGCCTCGGTTGCCAGCGTCACGGTATGTTTGCTTATCCCGAACCATGGTACGAATAGTTAGACGTATGTCCCCGATCTCCGCGGACAAATCTGCAATCTCACGACCCATCGTCTAGAGCTGGCAGCCAAACCACTCGGTCCGGCGGCTCAGGTTGTAGATGGCAGCGACACGCCTGTCGTTTGCAGCATCTTGTCGTCGCGACAGCATCGTGAATCGTGCTGACTTCTGATACCAACTAATGTAGGGGAAGTGTACAAATGGGAAAGATAAACAATATACTCTCTCGATAAAACTCACAATCAATTCATATTTCTATTCAAAATCAACTACCTAAAACAATAGATAGGGAGTCCTTTAAATAAGGCTCCTAAACCATATTCTTAACTTGTCCAACAAGACAAGATTTCTTATAATAATATTTAATTTCTAACTTATTCTTCAAAATATTAATAATAATAATAATCTACACCACAACTGAATACACCCAGGTAGGAAAATCCATTGTCCACTCAAAGGTCGAGTGGACTCGATCAAAGGTAATGTCATTTATGTAGGCCATGCAAACATGTTATATCTAAGGGTAACTATAAAAACCTACAAGTTATAGATACACAATTCATTTTTCCAAAAGATTAATAAATACGTATAAAAGAGAAATGCAATAGAATAATCTTACACGAACCTCACAACCAGAAAAAGAAGGGGAAAATGCAGATATTGGGTGGCTGGAATTGAGCTAAGCGAGCATGAGCAATTGAGCATGAGATATTTCTGCAATAAATAAATAAATAAATTAAAAAAAAAAAACTAGTTTTTACTTTTTAGAGATCACTAGTTATATATACACTGGCAAATTCGAACCTAGTATCCTCACGGATATTCTAGCAGTAGGATTCCACACACACACACACAAACCCATGAGGGTGTGTGTAGATAAACTATACTACCAAAGACAATTTGCAGAAAAACATCATAAGATATTACAAGTATCATGACCATTTTTTAATCTTCTGTTGTTGGGTCTAGTTTGCTCAGCTTTCTCGATATTGCGGTGATCCCAAACTGGACACTTGCAGGTCGCTTTCTTCTGCTTCCATGCTGCCCCACATGTATAGCAAAACTGGTGTCCACATCTGACTCATTTTCGACAAAACATCACTCCTTAATAAATTAAGTATATGATGTATACGGGTGGAAAATGTGGCGCCTAGAAGGATGGAGTAGAACTCACATTTATGAATTAGTTCTTCTAGGAATCAGGGATTAAATCATGTTTTAATCAAACAAAAATGTATTTTGNAAAAAAAAAAAAAAATAAATAAATAAATTATTTTAACGATTGCATAGACATCAGATTATGTTCACATGCTTGAATTTCATACCATACACCAAAACTCAGGAGGGTGAAATGGAGTCTACGATAGTAATCCTTAATCTATTTCACTCGTTTGTTTGGAATCAACTAAAGCAAATCTAATTATTATCATCATGATAGTGAGTGTAACCTTTTGTATGGGAAAGCGTAGAATATGAACTGTAGAAATCCATAACAAAATTTATCTACTTCATTTATGTATATATATCTTAATTGTCAAAAATAATGAAGGGTCACTACGACCAAAGGTCAATGCCTGGGGCCAATGGTAGGGCTGTTAACGAACCGAATATTCACAAACAAAAGCTCGTTTCTTTGTTAATCGAGTCTAGTTCGAAACTCGTTTCATAATCGAATGAACACGAGCTCATTCGCGAACGTTCGATAACGTTCGCGAACATTAATTTAATATAATTTTATTTTATTTTTTTATATATTTACATAATATCTTTAATAAAAAATCTAAAATATAAACATATTTTTATTTTATTATTATTATTTTTTTTTCGTTCAAACGAACAAATTTCGAGTTAATCAAGCATATTTAAAAAGCTTATGTCTTCAATTATTCGAACACAAACGAACCCGAACTTTTACGAACAATTAAACGAACGAGCTTGAAGACGATTTTTTCCATGAAAAGTAAACGAACGAACACGAGCTCAGAACGCTCAAACTCGACTCGTTTGATTCGATTACAACACTAGCCATTGGGGTCACGGGTGTAACGACTAATAAACCTAGCCATCTTTATCAACGAAATTAGAAGATTTTACCAACACACAGCAAACAAACAAATTGAAGTTTGTGGAAAGCGTGCTTTGACAATCTTAAAAAGCTCAAGAAATTAAGAGTGTACCTGCAGTAAATGTGGTAGCATCCTTTAGCAAGCGAAATCATATGGCAGCATTTAGGACACTGACGCCAAAGATTCTGAGTAGCCAAAGCCTTCAGGTTCTTGTCCGCCTTACTTGGGTAAGGATTTCGTTTTTAGAATTCAGCGCAATTCATATTACTATGCCAAGGTACTTTACAGTCGATGCAGAAAATGCCACTGCATTTTGGGCACTTCCTCTCCTGACTACCCGTCGATTCTTGAAGCTGAGTCCTCGATAACAACGTTGAACACTTAGGATAGGGACAATAGATCCTCTCTGCTGTTGGAATAGAAGCTTCCTTCACGCGTTGGCTTAGTATGTCGAATAACTCGGGATTCAGGAACTTTTTGCAGCTAGAAAGAGTCAGTCGGGACTTGCATTTCTCGAAAGGGCATTTAGGTAAGGACCCTTGACTCAATTTAGACCGAGTATAACTCGACATGCACGAAAAACAGTACCTATGCAGACAGCCTTTAATTTCTAACATTTGATCCGTTGATGTACTCTCGAAACAAATAGAACATGTCTCGGTGGGATTATCGGCATTGGTATTAATTCCAGCAACATGATTGACCTCGCTAACAACTGCATTTCTGGCAAGTTCAACAACAAACTTCATGTGCGTAGAGGACACAAGAGATGTACTGATATGAGTGAATTTTCTCGTGAGAAAATTTATCCGGTCATATAATGAGTCTACATTTTCCATGGCTAGAAAATTTTTCACCGTGATCTGCGTTTAGAGAAAAAATAAAATAAAATAAAACAAAAATCATGTCAATCACATAAACAATCGAGCTGCAGAAAGATGGGAAAAGCATTGTCGTGGAACAGCATTTGTGCATGAAAGCTATGCCTTTGCTAATCTTCTGAAATGCATTTATCGAACTCCCAATCTGAACAACTACCTATATTAACTGTTTATAAAGGGCCTCAAAAGTATCTAAGTATTCACGTTATATGGCTTCATTACTTCGATTCTCCTAACACGTTAATGGAACAATACAGAAAAGCGAGAAGTTAACATTAGTAAACTACTCTAGGGACGATCTCAACGGGTAGAAAATGCAAAATCTAGTCCAGAACTCCATATACACCTCAGGTTCAAACCATAACATAAGAAAAATAAGCCTTAAATCATGACCTTCATCAATACCACTCAAATTTAACAACACATAACAGCCTTACACACAGCAACTGAAGAAAACTTGTAACAAGTAGCATTTGTTTACTCACTAATTGACAGAGCAAAGGGTTGTCAGTAACAATGGAAACCCTCTTCAAATCGAGGGCCGCTGCCACATCGAGCTCTTCAATCAGAGCTTTGAAATCGACAAGCTCTGGAGGATTGGATTGCCCATCTTCCCCCCTGCAAACTTTGCTCACCTCAAACACCAAACAACCGTCCCTATCGCATATGGCCACCCCAATACCACTCGCAACTCCCTCCGCCAAACCCTTGACATAAACCCAAAAGCTTTTGTTGGCGTTATTATTATCACTATTATTGCTACCTAACGAATGAGAGCCCTCACCGTAGGGCCTGTTCAGATTATCCCCAATTTTCCTCCACTCGGCCTCTTCGAGGTTCGCGATCTCGAGGGCCATGGCGCGGTCGTGGGCCTGACGGTGGAGATCGTCTCGGATGAGCTCCGCCTCCGCCTCTGCCTGGTACTGACGGAGGAGTTCCTCCTCGCATAAGCTGCTCTGGAGGAGGATGGACTTGCCGGCGTACGAATCATAACAGGGTCCGCCGCCGAGGGGATGGAAGCGGCGATGGGTTGTTTGTCGGGAATCTTGGAGGCGGGTCGGGCGTCGTCGTCCTCCATCGGTCGGTGATTTTTTTGGCGCGAATGCTCGGCAAATGGCAGAAATCTTCAGCTCTGCAAAGGAGATAGGGAACGAGAGGAAGGAGAAACTAAAAACCCTTGCGCCATTAGTGGAAATTGTAAGAAAAATTGATTTTATTTTTAGTAAGTAGAAGACTTTTAAAATTCTCAAAACATGTGAATGAGAAATTAATTCTAAGTGTTATATGTTAATTAATTGAGTTCAAATAACTCAAAGGTTGTAGAGTTTACAAACATTCAGTTTTGATAAATGTTTGGACGAAGTAAACGAGCTATAATTATGCATTATGTATGCTATAATTGTAGAAGGGCTCGTTGGGGACAAGTAGAAAAAAACGGAACTCGATTCCGAGTCCGTATGAGCTCATACGAGCCCGCGGCGCACGGGCGCACAACTGGCTACGGAAATCAAAGGGTTGCAACCCTTGATGACCATAAGGTATCTTTTGGCCACTAGATACATCCGTTCTCGTTCGGGCACGTCCCAAAAGGTGTCTTTTGACACTTAAACCTCTTGGAGGTGTTTCCCTACATCTATAAATACCTACATACTTGAAATCATTAATATTATGAAAATTAGAGAGCTCTTGCATTACTAAATAAATATCATATAGCATATTGCGTTCTTTGATTTTTTTCATTGAGTCTTGAGAGTTCCAAACAATAGTAGTGTTCGCCGAAGGCTTGTATATTTGAAGTACCACTATATACAAGTCGAAAGTCGTTGTATCTTGGAGGCGTTTGCTGTTAACCGTGGGTATTTTACGGGGCAATTTCGTCTTAACGAGAACGTAATTATTACGTGCCTCGACTTTGATTTTTGTTTTGTTTTCTTCATTCTCCTTAAGCCGTCTTTTTGATATTCACAAACAACAAATATACTACAATCTTAAGACGAAATTGTTGTGAGTTCATAAGATGGCAATCGGAGGAAATCAAACGTCTTCTTCAAGTGCTCAACCGATGGTAGCTGCTCCCGTCCAAGGCGAGAGACCGCCGAAGTTCAATGGATCCGATTTCAAGAGGTGGCAACAAAAGATGCTGTTCTACCTCACAACTCTCTCCTGTTAGTGTTATATACTGAAAGCTTGGCTTTGCATGTTATTACACATTTACCCTTTATGAATGAGAATCATGTTAGATTAAACAAGTTCTACGTTCTGTTGTTCTGCACTTAGATAGGGTGGGTCGTCATCGGGCGAACCGAAGATCACTCTGTCAGTCACTTGCGAACAAGAATAGTTGTTCACAACCTAGATGGACATGAACACCCCATCCGAACGGTTGTAGTGTCAACTGTACAGTTTGTCTTGACTGATTAGTTGCACTAGTACATTTATGTATTGAACAGGATCCCAGAGAGGAGAAGTTCATTTTATACTGATCGTCGTAAATGAACTAGGCCTCGGTTAATTACTGCGTTCTCTTAACCCGTAAGATATTAAACAGGCAGATATATATAATATATATTACTTTGATTCACATGGGTGAGGTTCAGTTCGCTGGATTAATATTCCTACTGTTTTGGGTAATATTATTATATATAGGATGTGCTGTTAGGATATTTACGGTCACCATGTGCGTTAGTTTGATGATGTCCCCGGAGTGAGTTCATGAAGGATTGTTATGCTAAACCCTGCAGGTGGATTAAATTCCGGCATAATAAGAATGTGATGAACGAGCGCTAGCTTCGGTGAAATAATAATAAATTAATTAATTCTTGATTGTCAGTAATCGAATTAATTAATGGACATTATATCTTAAACGTGGGGAGGTAAATCGAGTAATTATTATTGGAGTCTCAAATGTAATTTGGGCTAGGGAAAGGGAGTGCAATAATATAATGTTGGTGGCCCATTAATATTATTTAATTAATTAGAGGAGTGGGTTTGGCCCACAGTTAGTCTAATTAATTAAGGAGCCCTTTTCCTAATCTCCTTAGGGTCCCTACTGTAGCTCTATATATACATCATTAAGCTCATGAGAAGAGAATAGAAGTCTCATTCTCACGTGAAACCATCTCTCTCTCTAGATCTCATTCGAGCTTTATCTTCTTCTTGTTGCTCCACTGGTACAAGTTGAAGAAGGGTGTATTGAGTAATACAGTAGAAGATCTGTAGGTAAACCGAGACGAAATTGATTTTGACCTACAGAACTAACCGGAAGTCCGATTGAGACGTACAGTATACCCAGACGACCGTCTCGACGAGAGCTTTCCATCGCCGCCGACGTCGCCGGAATCCGACGCCGCACGCGCCCTCACGCGCCGCCGGAAGGTGTCTGGCAGCAAAATTTCGTTTTGATCTGTTTGCATCCGTTTGATCCAGTTTTGATCTGATCTTGTTCGTGCAACCCAAGACGCGTGTTGCGGTCAATCAATTGCGGTCAACCGTTCGTGGTCAACCAGATCTACATAAATTTTAAGCCGTAAGTTCTCTACGTCAAACCTTTAGATCCGCTGCGCATAGGTTTACGTTTGCTATTGAATTCGTGATTTGTACATAACGAGATCCTCACAGATCCCAACAAGTGGTATCAGAGCACTTGGTTAATTCGTTTTGTACAAAGTTCGAATTTTTACGGCTTTATTTGACAAGATGTGTTCAAACGCAGCCATATATTGGATTATATTTGCATAACTCGGTTTTGCAGGAAAATAGTTAATCCACTATTATGGCCGATTATGTGTTTGATGAATGTTGTTGAATGTGATGTATGGTTTTAAATTTGTTTTTAAAGCCTCGGGCATGTCGAGGAATTTATGGATGAATGTTTGTAATAATTATTCGCCCGGGGGTTGACCGGATAGATTTAATTATTTGTTTAGAAAACATGTACATCCATTCGTTGGATCTAGGATCGAATTATGTAATTTTGTAAATTATATTTTTCGTGTTGTGATCGTGTGTTGATAACCGGGAGATCACAAGAGATCAACGAGCCTCGAAGAATTAAAAAAAAAAAAAAAAGGCGTTTTTCCGGCGAACTGGTGGCGGCGGCCGGCGAACCGGCGGTGGCTGGTGGCGGCGGCAGGTGGCGGCTGGTAGCTGGTGTTTTTGCCTTGTTGTCCAAGCAGTACAAGATCAACCAGGATTCTACTGCTTAAAGGAGTTCCAGTTGAACAGGGAAAAGAACTGTCACAGTTTCCTTGTTTAAGGAGACTCAATATTTAATGGCCATAATAGTGGATTTATTTATTTATTTAATTAAATTTATTATGCCATTAAATTATTATTTATGCATGTTAATTAATTATGTTCTTGCATGGGATTAATTTAGTATTGCAAGATTAATTATGCATGTTAATTAATTATGTGATGCATAGGATTAATTTAGAATTGTGTCAATAAATTATGCATGTAATTAATTATGTTCTGGCATGGATTAATTTAGAATTGCATAAATTATTGAACATGTTAATTAATTATTGCATTGACATAGATTAATTTAGAATTGCATGAATTAATATGCATGTTAATTAATTATTGCATTAACATAGATTAATTTGGAATTGTATAAATAGTTAAAAATCCTCATTAAATTATACTAAGTTTGAGAAGGGATTTTAAATTAAAGTTAATTGTAAAATTCCTAAGGCCTCCATTTCTAATTTGTCGGTAAATCAATTAATTGCGGCAATGGGCTCCCCCACGGGTGACATTGCTAAAATTGGTTGTAGGAAATTACCAGGACAAATTTCTAAAATTAGACGGTTAGAGGGAATCTTAAGAGAACGCACGGGCCTCCCCACGGGGGACGTGTAATCAATTTTGACAACCTCAGAATCGAGAAATGGGATTCACTTAGAATGCGACTTATCTATAAACTCCCCACGGGGTCCCTGGATTTATTGCATGGCCAAATGGAGACCGACTATTAATTTCGTTAGTCATGAATGTGGTTTTGACTTATGGAAATTAATGGGCCCTTGAAAAGTCCTTCTCTTACAAAATGCGAGTTTGTAGGGCGACCCACGTAGCATACATTCTCACGAGGTGTAATAGATGTCGGTGAATTTAAGTTAATATTGTTTTGAGGATCTCAATATTGACAGTTAAATTCAAAAGTGTTTAATCTGTAAAATTTATTTGCATGATTCTCAGGATATTCATCATGTCGTTCAATCCGTTGTCTGTCATTCTAAAAGAAAATCAGCTTACTGGTCCTAATTACATTGATTGGAAGAGGAACTTAGACATAGTGTTGACTGCTGAGGGTTATAAGTTTGCTATCACTGATGCTTGCCCGGCGGTGCCGGCGGCTGATGCTCCTGAGCAGGAGAAAGAGGAGTATGCTCGGTGGAAGAAGGCTGATGAGATGGCGAAGTGTTACATTCTGGCTTCTATGTCGAATGTTCTTCAACATCAGCATCAGTCTAAGGACACTGCAGCAGATATACTTCTCAATCTCAGGGATCTGTTCGGACATCAGTCTAGGGCTGCTAGGCAAGAGGCTTTGAGTGCTCTGATGAGTACGCGCATGGCCGAGGGCACACCCGTAAGGGAGCACGCTCTCAGGGTTATGGCGCAGCTCAATGAGCTTGAGGTTATGGGAGGTTATATTGACGGGGAAACCCAGGTTGATATTATGCTCCAATCTCTGCCGAAGAGCTTTGATCAGTTCCGGTTGAACTACAACATGCACAAGATGCATATGGCTCTTCCAGAACTGCTTGCAGAGCTTCAGTCGGCGGAGGCCTTATTCACTCAAGCACCTCAGGTGCTAGTCGCCGAGCAGGCTGGACCTTCCAGGCCTCACAAGGGCAGGAAGAGAAAGAAGTCTGCAGGAAAGGCGAAGGCACAGGATGCTCCGGTTTACCCACGACCGACCCCTCAGGCTGTGGCAAAGAAACCGAAAGGAAGATGCCACAAGTGCAATAAGTCAGGACACTGGAAGGTCGATTGCCCTCTCCTCAAGAAAGGTAACTCTCTCGTTAATGTCGTAGAAACATGTTTAGCGGTTGTATCTACCAGAACCTGGTGTGTAGATACTGGAGCCACTGATCATGTCTGCAATTCTTTGCAGGGGTTCCAGGAAACCAAGCGACTTAGGGAGGGAGAGATCACCGTCTACATGGGCAATGCTACG